ACACACATCTTAGTAAAACCAATACCTTCTCAGCTTCGCATCGAAGCTAAAATATCAAAATAAAACTGTAAATATAAATTTAAATGGATTTTATTTTGAATTATATTCATGTAAATGAACTATAAAATTTTTATAAATAAATTATTTATGTAAAAATGTTGTTATTCAAATTAAATTCACAGTTAAATTTATTATAAATATATACCAGTAATAAATTTGAGGTTATTTTTTCACCACGTATATAAACTAGACAAAATGGTGTTCAAAATTATTTTCTTCAAAATTTTTTAAAAATGATTACGAATTTTGGAGTAATGTTTATATATTGAATCTTTTGGTGTTCATTTTTTCATTTGCCATAGTTATTTCATCTCGAGTTATTTGATTTCTTATGAAACAATCCACATCATTCCAATATTCTTTGGTGCTTTGGTGGTTTTATGTTCCCTAAATCTTAGTTAAATTGAGTGGATTTTATTTTTTACTGGGATAGTTTCATCTGCATTCTGTTGATCATTAATATTTGGAGCTGAAATTTTCTGTTTTTATAATTGTATATTCAAGTGATCAATCACGTGTCATGGGGAGCATAATTAATTTGGTGGTAATGTGTAAATTGATTATTTTTTTTCCAATGATTTAACTCAACAAAATTAAATTTAACCAGTAGTTTTATCTGACATACAAATTTATTTGTATAATTATAATGTTGTTCATCAAAGCAAATATTTTACAAAATATAATGTAATAACATTGCACTAATAATTAGTTCAATGTTATTAATTAGTGACTAATTAATATAATTTGTTGAAAAAAATTTATATTTATAATATTGGGGAGAGAGAGACAAAATTATTTTCTTAGATTAAAAAAAATATAGTAATTTTTGCGAATTTTTTATAGAAATATCTTTAAATATATTAACCAAACAATGACAATTTTTTTGAAAGTAATTTAAATGAACACATATGTTTGTTTTAAATCGTACTAATACTTTTTTAGCAAGAACTATATAATATTGTTTTACAACGTTAGGTTTTAACGTTAGTATTAAATATAAATAACTTTTTTTAATATTTCAATAGTTAAAGAAAAGTATTGCAAACACAATATCTTATTCAAGGGCATAGTATCTTATTTATAGGGGAGTATTATCGAGAATTTTAAGTAAAAATGAAATGGGAAAGTTATTGTATATTTTTTTAATTGTATTTGAAATACTATATATATATATAATATTTTGCATATAATTAATAGAACTAGATCAGTTACTAAAATAATAATAAATATTCATGAGCATATCATAAATGGTCCACTTTAAATATTTTACTGATTGTTTAACTTCAGAAAAAAATTTCTCTCGTTCCCCGTAAATAGGGGAAACCTCCAACAAAATTACAAATTTAAAAATCGCTAATTTTCGAAATTTTTTACTTAAAACTGCCATAACTTTTTCAAAAATGAGCAAATCAATATAATTTTTTTTTTTATAGATGATTGATGTCTTTACTTATCATTTGGTATATTTTTTTTATAAATTTGACCCTTTACCAACCAGCCCATAGGGGGGGATTCAAAATTACAACTTTTTCTCAAAAAATGTACTTTTTCAACTTAACTTTTGAAAGTGTTTCGGAAATACTGACACTTTTATATATATCTTAAATTAAAGCTTATGTAATATACTTTAATATTAAAAAAAAAAATTCGGACTTTATTTTGTTTTCACGGTGAAAATAGTCATCAAAGTTAATAAAAAAAATACGATTTTTGTAAAAAAATTCTTTTTCATATTTTTAACTTTATAATGCTATAACTTTTTGAAAGATATATGGATCAATATAATTCTAATGTAATATAATTTATTATGGAAAAAAAAAATGTCTAACCTCATTTTGTCTCCATGGTTAAAATATCTACAGTATGTTATTTTTGTGTTAATATTTTCGATTTTATTTTTTACATTTTTAACTTTATAATGCTATGACATATTGAAAAGTGTATGGATCAACATTATTTTTTTATGAGAAATAATATTTTTTAATAATCCCTTTTTCATTCTATATACTTTATCTGAATCAGGATATTAATAACGAACTAGCAGATCATGTTGCTTTTGGAATAATCCACCAATTTTTTAAAATTAAACACTATCTAAAGATTTGCATCGAAGCGTTTATTTTTGATAGTGATTTTAATCACTGTCAGATATCATTATACTTGATCCAACTATGCCACGTCACCACTGTGACGCGACCCCCCTGTGCTGGGTTTTTTTTTTATTTATTTTTTTTTTTGTGTCTGTCATTACTTTTTCTCAGCTCTCACTGGACCAATTTCTTTCAACAATACGTCAAAAGATCACATATTGTATCTAGTTGAAGACATTACCCTCAAAAATTTAAAAATTTTCCCTCGTTCCCCGCATATGGCGAAATCTCCAAAAAAATTACAATTTTAAAAATCGGTAAATTTTGTTTTTTTCTTCTTAAAAATTCCATACATTTTTTAAAAATCAACAAATCAACATAATTTTTTTTTTACTAAAATCTTAAATATTTCCCTTTTATTTGATATAATTTTCTCGAAAATTTAACACTTAACCTGCTCATTGGGGGGGATTTAAAATAGTAACTTTTTTATAAAAACTAATTTTTTCTATCTTAAAATATTCTATCTTTGTATTAAAATTGTGGGTTTTGTATTTTATCTTATTTTAAAATATTTTATGGGGGGAATACAATAACTTTCATGAATATTTAATTGACATAGAATAAAGTTCATAAGACATAAGAAATTAAAATTATTAAAATTTTTTTACTTCTTTAAAGTCGAAAAAGTAATTTTTAAATTTGAGTTGGCTTAGGATTTGAACCTCCTCCTGTGGCAATATATATTTTGCATTTTTTTTGAGTTAAAAAATATTTTCAAATCATTTGATTTTTATTTCATTTAGATTCAATAACGTCAATAAATATCAAGGATCCCATCACTATAGTCTCCCCTCGTGAGAAGAAATTTATATTCATGTTAATATTATTTTACTATGTGGTTCTTTTTGTGGCTATGATTTATTTTGCCAACCCTCACTAGACCTACTTTTTTCAACGATACGTCTAATGATTACAATTTGTATTTAGTTTAAGTTATTACTCTTAAAAATCGAAAAAATATTCCTTATTCAAAAAAAAGTAGCTTAAGCAGCTTTTTCCATACAAACAATTAAAATCATTAATTTCTAATATTCTTAAAGTATTTATTGTCGAATTAGATTTGATATGACAAAAATATTAAACTACAGAAGTAAATAATTTTACATTGTAATTCAATAATTTTTTAACTCTATTTGTGTGTACTATTACCATATATAATATTCCAAATTTTTTTGTAACATGTTCCTATATAAATCATAAATTAAAAAAAAAAAATGATTTATAGTTTCACCTAAATTTAAAGATTTTTACAATTATAATCAAATTTTATAATACGCTCAATTGAGTAAATCTTTTAACAACTTTTTTTTATTGATTTTTTTAGATATAAATACATAATATATAGATATATATACATAATATACACACTATATTTAATATAATCTCAATTTAGCAAAGATATTTAAATTTGCCTCATTAGAAATATCATTTTATCCAGGCGTGGGACAAGAAGAAGTTTAATTTTTTTTTAAATTAATAATTCTTAAAACAATTAATATTATTTAATAAACGTTTTACCGATTGGTCTCAAATCATTATATAGTATTTTTTACCAAATTTCAAGTTTTCATATTTTAAGGGTGTCAGCTATTTCCTATATCGATAGTCAATAAATTTTTATTGTCTTTGAACGTGATATTTGATAAGATTTTCAAGTTTATTAGACTATTTTCACGATAACATATGTGCAATAAATAAAGAATGTAATAGAAACTTGTTATACGAACTCAACACGAGAAAAAACCAATTCGACAATTTACAATAAGAGATAAGAAGTTGCTGACTATTTAACTTATCACCTCTACCAAACTTAAAAATCAACTAAACACTTGTATTATTTCTGTTATTCATAATATCATTTATATTTACAACATTACTATAGATATTTCAAAAACCGCTTTTTTTATTTTTTTCATCCAAAAACAAAAGTTGTTTAAAAAACAGCCGATTGTAAATATCTAAAAAAATGTTATATAGAGTTTTAATTAAAATAAAGTTTTTAATCTTAAAGAACATCCGTTAAAAATAATACAATTTACGAACAGATAAAAATAAAGATTTCAAGTTTTTACAGTTATAAGAAAAGAAAAATACATTTTATTAAAATTAATTAACAAATATTACCTTAAACAAAAAATGCATAATATTTCAAAAATAATTCTCGAACTTCTGAGCTTATATGTAATATTTTTAACTAATATCTTTTCATTGATTTTAATTAATTTTTGAGTCTTCCAAAGAACTATAATTTAAGTAGAAACCCCAACATTATATTCATAGACAAGTAGTTGAATGATCAATTTGTAAACACGTATTAAAGTAATAAATATAATATATTTGACCAACATTTTTTTTGTTTTATACAAATGTTCATGGATTTTAGAAAATGTAGTTGAATTATATAATTGGGGTCATTATGAAGAAGCAGCTGACATTTATCTCAAACCAGATTCGAATATTGTAGATGTAATAAAAATACTTGAACCTATTTTTTGGACAAAATTAAACAACACTAAAAAGTCTAAAAAATTTTTACTTAAAAATGAAAGTATTTTAAAAAATTCCTTCTCAATATGTGTTAAAATGTTTGTGAAAAAGATCCACAAGAATGACAAAATTCTCCAGGACTATGAAATCTTTAAGGAATCAAAAAAGTAAGAAATTCAAATTATCTCATACTTATTTAAAGATAAAATTGAGAAAAGCGTTGAAACTTAATTCATGTAAGTAATTAGATTGAATGTTCTATTAACTTGACTCTTAACACAGTAATTAATATTTATAATATTGATTATTATCAATATTTTAACTCAAATAGTTATTTGAGTAAACTGTTAGTTAGTAATTTGTTGTAGTTAACTACAAAATTTCATTAAACTTCAAATTTTTGTTTTTATTTTACAGAAAAAATGAGATAATATTAGATTATTTGTTTTTAAAACTGATTTTATTTTTATATACATTTATTATCCTTAAAATAAAATATGTTCTAGAGAAAATCAAAACAAAGACATAGATATAGAAATAGAAAGTACTAAAAATAAACAAAATATATTCAAAAATATGTTTGCTAGAAAGGAAGATTAATCACAAAGAACCAAAAACTGTTACGAAAATTTAACACAGTTTTAACATTTTTATGTATGATTTAAAAATAATGAAAACAATTACTGCGATTTAAAATTATTTATCCTTGTAATAAATGTTTTCTTTAATTTTATAATAAATGAACTTAATTGATAATTGTCTTCTATGTTTTATAGCAGATTATTTATAATGTATTACTCATCATAATAATTATTATAATTCTCATAGTGATCAAACACTTTAAAGCTGTCTACGATAAAAAAAAATTAATTATACTAATAAGCTATCATTATCTTAATTATAATAAATACTAATAAAAAAATTAAAAAATTTGTTTTTTGATATTTCTGTTTACCTTATATTTTTATAGAAGTAACTTATATTATTGTGGCCTTAAGTATATTGTAATCATACTTGAAATTATTTCACTAGTAGATGCGGTGTTAGTTAATGGTGCTCGACTAATGTGCACCAGAATAGCACAGTGTAATATTCTAAGTTATTCTTATGAATAATATATTTTTTATATAGAGCTTATATCATATATATTGGTCAAACCTTACAGAAAGTTAGCAAGTAATTAATATTATATAATTTAAGATATCATCTTCTTCTATAACAACTTCGGGAGTTTCTTAAGATTTCTTTAACCATTTTTTACTTTTGTTTTTTTATTATTTATAAATGATGCAAACAATGTATTTAAATATTGTAAATTTGCATTATTTACTAATGATACTAATTTATACGTAGAAGTGGACTCTGAGAAAAATTGTAGAAAATTGCAAGAAGACTTTGCTAGCTTTTCTTATTGATCCACATCTAATAGATTAAAAATTAACATTGATAAATGCTCTACTATATCTCTTACTAGAAGTAAAAATCTCTTAATCTATAGATATTAATTGGATGGCTAATACACTGTTAGCCGTGTTCAGTCCACCGTCGTTCCTCAATAAATATGTGGCACGCGTCTTCGTATACACACACACCTCCGTCAGTACGTGTTATTGTTCGTCTACATCGCGCCATATTTTATTATTTGTTGCACCTATGTGCCCTTGAATCCCTTCAGTGATGGCTCGTGGGTGATAGTGGTGGGGGTGCGACTTTAAGTATAATACCGCTAGTCATAGGTAAAAAAAATTGTCAAATTAAATATAATAAAATGAAACACAGAACATGTATTGTTATTTTAATGTTTAATATTTTATTCATAAAATTGTTATAGTATATTATTGCATGTGTATGAATTTATGATTATATAATTAAAAAATAACTAATTTATGGAATTATTTTATGAATTAAAATTAAAAACAATATATTTTATAGTGCAGGTCGCAGTAGAAAATAGAAATGAAAATAATAATAATAGCGATTACACTATTGTAGGAACCGATAACGACGAGCACACAAGAAGTTAATTCTAAAAATAAATTACCCCACATAGTAATATAGTAATATTTTACTGTATGGACGACGCTGCTGTTCGTCCAAACGCTACTCGTGTGTGTATATACTAACCGCATATACTGATGGAAACAACTTCAATGTTCCCATACGACAAATGTATTATAACTATTTTACTATTTCAAAATTTGTATTTTTAATAAAAATGTAGAATTAAGAATATACAACTAATTTTCTTCTTTTTATTAATTTTAATAGGAGGTGCGATTGTCCCGTCGTCCAAGCCACGAGCCGCCACTGACAATCACTATAGAACTTTTCTAGCGTCTGGCTTCGTCCGCCATTACGTGCCCCAAACTTAGACGTTGACCAATGTTACCCAGATTACCACAACATCTTATACAGTTCACTCACCACTATCAACGACTTCATTTATTCAGTCAAATATTGTATTATTTATTAATGTTATTGATTATTTTGTTTTAAATGAGTTTAGCTATTTTGTTTTACACCGCTGCCCTTTAAACATAAGATACTCAATGAAGAACTTTTGAAATATATGTTTATTTTTTTATTTATTTATTAAAGATAAACGCCCAAAAGAGCAAAATACAGTACTCATAACTATAATACAAAACGTAAAACTAAAAAAAAAAGAAATACACTAAATTAACAAATTTAAGCTTAAATTCTCAAATTAATAATAACACAACACATAATACATTAATTATAAATACAAATATTGTTGAGTAACATAAGTAATTAATCAATTTTTTAATTTAGCATTTACAAGAGTTTGTAGCCCGGTTGGTTTATCATGAAAAAAATCAAAATTACCTAATGAATTTAACATTCTGTTAATAAGTGCAAAAAAACTATAGTTTGTGGGGCATAATGAGGTATAAAATGTATAAGGTACCCGTGTATTGACCTGAGGAACATTTAAGGGCACTTTCTTCAATAATTCAGGGCAATCAATATCATGATTGATTAATTTATATAACCAAAGTAAATCATTGTAATTTCTACGCATTTGAAGAAAATATATATAATACTCCAAGCTAACTTATCAAGAGGTAAATTAAATTTATTAGTTTTAAACGGCAAGAAACGCAAAAATTGGTTTTGAATACGTTCTATTTTTAAAATTAAACTACTTTGGTGAGGATTCCAGATAATAAAACCATACTCAAGAATAAAGCAAACCATTGAAAAATATAGAACTTTGAGACAATTTACATTACTGAAATCGGAACAATTACTTTGAATAAAACCAATTAAAAAAAAAACGTGAAGCTTTATTACACATTATTCTAATATGTTCATTAAAAGATAAATCATAAGATAAAATAATTCCTAAGTCTTTTAATTGTGTCACAACATTCAGCTTAGTACTGTATATTCTGTACTGAAAGTATAACTTTGATTTACGTCTCGTAAAAAAAATCTATGAGCACTTCTGAGCATTAATGTGTAAAACATTCAACGAACACCATACAAAAAATCTATCTAAGTCATCTTGCAGATTAACAAAATCTAAGTCTGAATGAATAGGCATATAAAGTTTTAGATCATCCGTAAACAGTAAAAATTTACAATTATGGAAAACATCTTTAATATCATTTATGAACAAAAAAAACAACAACGTGGATAAATGACCCCCTTGTGGCATACCAAAAGACACGTTAATAGGCGAAGATATAAATTCGCCCAGTTTAACTAACTGTATTCTATCTGATAAATAGGATTTGATCCGATTTAACATTGAACCACCTAAACTAAATTGTTCTAATTTTTTTAAAAGAATACACACATCGACAGTATCAAAAGTCTTTTTAAGATCTGTATATATTGCATCGACCTGAGCACCATTACTAACTAATTCAGCGAGATGTATAATACACTAATAAATTGGTCATGGTAGATTTAGCATTACGAAAGCCATGTTGTCTATCTGTAACTATATTTTTAAACAAAACAGATAATTTAGGTTCTAAAATTTTTTCAAATAATTTTGGAAGTACACTTAAACGAGAAATAGGACGATCATTTTTTACATCATAACGATTACCTGATTTATAAATGGGATATATATAGCTAGTTTTCCATTAATCTGGATAAGTACCAGTAGAGAGTGATAAGTTAAATATAAATTGAATTGGACGAGTAAGTAAGAAATAACAGGTATGGTAAACTATTGACGTGTGTCTTAAAGATGTAGGAGCATTATTTACATAGGAGCATCTTCAAACACAAATGGGTAAGTGAGTACATACTAAAAGTATGTATTCTTTTTTTTTTTAATGTTTTGCTTTACTAATGTACTTGTTTACGTTACACCTAACCGTGTAATCAGTAAACTGCACTGATGCTATTATGGCGAATGCTATACTTAATCATGTTAATAATTGTTCCCTATATAACACATACACTGGCCACCAATTATGATAGTTATTAAAATCAAAATCATAAAAAACGTTTCGATGCTAATCTGTAGTATTTAATTTTAAGAAATTGATGGATTATTACAAAAGCAACAACAATTTCTGTTTCCTCAATTATATTCTGATTAATACTTCATTTATTTATAACTATAATATATGAATAAATATTTATTGTAGCAATTAAAAATAGTATGAAGTTATATTTTATAATTTAATATTCTAATTTTTACAGAGAAATTATAAAACAATTGTAACTTATATGAAAATCGGTGGTCTCATTACTATGGCAATCCCTTGTAAGGTATTTTAATATAAAAAAACGGTAGCACAGGGGGTCGCGGCATAGTTGAGACAAGTATAGATAATACCTGACTGTGATTAAAATCACTATCATAAGAAACGCTTAGATGCAAATCTGTAGATAGTGTTCTATTTTTAGAAATTGGTAGATTACTGTAAAAGCAATATCAACTCTTTTTTCCTTCATTGTAACTGATTAGTAGGACTTATTATACTAAATAAATTTAATATGAAATTGATACTCGATAATTAAATATTGAAATTATTACGGAGAAATTATAAAGTAGTACATTTTGTTACTTCTATTTAAAAGGCTTTGTGAATAATTCACTGATCTACAAAGAATTTTCATTTGAGATCAGAATATACTTTTTAAAACCAATTTTCGCGCGTATTTTAAATCTACAATTAGACTTTGACTAACATCTCTTCATTTAGATTATTACTAATTAGTAAAACACAAGTATTTACATATAAAAACAAAAAAATATAATTGTTTCCGAATTATGATTGATTTTAATTTTTAATGTGTTAAAAAAAATCAGTGAAATATTTAACTTATTTTTTTTGACCTTCAAAGTTGATTTTTTAAAAGCTTATAATAAAAAAGGTTGAACATTTCTTTTAACTTATTTTTGAATGATGAAATTGACATAATTAAATAAAAAATTTTATGATAATTAAAAAAATAGTATTGTCAAGATGAATATGCAGTCAGGAATTTTTATAATTGTTATTCACAGTAAATTTATGAGAAAAACTCAACATTTTGATAAAATCACTATTTTTTTTATTTATATCGTAATAAATAATGTCAATATAAATCATAGTAATCATTTCTAATTAATTTAGTGTGTTCTACAATTGAAGTATTCAAAACTTAATTAATTTTAATTATAGTTGGGATAAGTATAGATAATATCTGACAGTGATTATAATCACTATTATAAGAAACGCTTCAATACAAATTTGTAGATAGTGTTTAATTTCAAGAAATTGGTGGATTATTCCAAAAGCAAAATTAACTCCTATTTTAGCTTCGATGCGAAGCTGAGAAGGTATTGGTTTTACTAAAATCTGTTTTTTTTTTTTTTGTGTCTGTTACCACTTTTTCTCAGCTCTCACCGAACCGATTTCTTTCAACGATACGTCAAAAGATCACAAATTGTATCTAGTCGAAGACATAACCCTTAAAAATTGAAAAAAATTCCCTCGTTCCCCGTAAATGGGGGAAACCTCCAAAAAAATTACAAATTTAAAAATCGCTAATTTTCAAAATTTTTTCAATTTTTTTTACTTAAAAGTGCCATAACTTTTTCAAAAATGAACATATCAATATAATTCTTTTTTATATAGATGCATAATATCATTACCTTTCATTTAGTATATTTTTTTCATAAATTTAACCCTTAACCTGCCCACAAGGGGGGATTTAAAATGACAACTTTTTCACAAAAAATTAATTTTTTTAACTTAAATTTTGAAAATGTTCCGGAAGGTCTGACACTTTTATATATATCTTAAATTAAAGCTAATGTAATATGCTTTATCATGAAAAAAAAAAATTTCGGACTTTATCTTATCTTCATGGTGAAAATGGCTACCGAATGCTATTTTTGTGTGAAAATTTTCGATTTTGTATTTTCCATTTTTAACTTTATTATGCTATAACTTTTTGAAAAATGTATGAATCATTACAATTTTTTTATGAGAAGTAGTATTTATATAGATCTTTTATTTGACATACTGTTTTTTTAAATCGGACCATTTTCCTATATATGGGGGGGCTTAAAATATAAAAAATGCATGTAGAAAGTAGAACTTTTTCAACTTAAATTTTGAAAGTGTTCCGAAAAGTCTGACACTTTTATATATATCTTAAATTAAAGCTAATGTAATATACTTTATAATGGTAAAAAAAAATTTCGGACTTTATTTTATCTTCATGGTGAAAACAGACATTAAACTTAATAAAAAAAATACGATTTTTGTAAAAAAATTCTTTTTTATATTTTTAACTTTATAATGCTATAACTTTTTGAAAGATGTATGGATCAATATAATTCTTTTTTTTGTAGATGCATGATGTCTTTACCTATCATTTGGTATATTTTTTTTATAAATCTGACTTTTTACCTGCCTACAGGGGGGGATTCAAAATGACAACTTTTTCACAAAAAATTGACTTTTTCAACTTAAATTTTGAAAGTGTTCCGGAAAGTCTGACACTTTTATATATATATTAAATTAAAGCTAATGTAATCTACTTTATTATGTAAAAAACAAATTTCGGACTTTATTTTATCTTCAAGGTGAAAATGGCTACCAAATGCTATTTTTGTGTGAAAATTTTCGATTTTGTATTTTACATTTTTAACATTATAATGCTATAACTTATTGAAAAGTGTATTGATCAATATAATTTTTTTATGGGAAATANGTAATATATATGGAAAAATATATGGATCAATACAATTTTTTTATGGGAAATTCTATTTTTTAATAATCCCTTTTTCATTCGACATAATTTATCTTAATCAGGATATTAATAAGGAACTAGCAGTTTATGAAGCTTTTGGAATAATCCACCAATTTTTTAAAATTAAACACTATCTAAAGATTTGCATCGAAGCGTTTTTTATGATAGTGATTTTAATCACTGTCAGATATCATTATACTTGATCCATCTATGCCACGTCACCACTGTGCCGCGACCCCCCTGTGCTGGGTTTTTTATTCTACTTCAACTGCCATTATCACATAGAAAATTAAAAAAAACACATCATAGTAATATATTCTCAGCTTCACATCGAAGCTAAAATTGCCTAGTACATTTTTAAAAAATTACAACAAAGTAAAATCGAAATTGAAAAAAAAATAATCAAAGGGTATTTTCTAATTAATCTTTTATGGAGACCCTAAGTTTTTTTATAACTTTGAAAAACGTACAAAATTAATAAAACTATAATACAAATATATCATAAGTTTTTAATTACAGCAGCCATATACAACAGAAGCTAGGTCATCGGAAAAATTTTTGTTTTTAATTATAGTATGTAACATAACGTTTAATTTAACATTACACAAACGGAACATATTCAAAAATAAAATAGAAAAACTTAGATTTATGTGCAAAAGTCTCTATTTTGAATCTCTCCAGGTAGGTTAAAGTTTAAATTTTTTAAAAATATATATACTGAAAGATAGGAAAAATCCTAAAGTATTTATAAATTAAATGTATTTTTAATCATCTATTTTTTAAAAATTTATTACAGTTTTAAGGAAAAAAGTTTAAAAAATGTTGAAATATATCGATTTTTAAAATTAAATTTTTTTGGAGGATTTCTTTTATTTACAAAGAACGAGGAAAAAATTTTCAATTTTTGAGGCTAATGTCTTCAACTACATACAATTTTTTCAAAGCAAAAATTCGAAATGGAGGTTGGTCAATAAAAAAATTTACATAATTGCATATACTTAACGTTATTTTATATGCTCATTACTTTTTTTGTAAACTTATATTTATTTCAATGGATGCCATGCCCCTTTTACTTATCTGACTACGTCACTGGTATTGTTATCAGTTGACATATTATTAAGTAAATTGTCTAGGATAAGAGATAATCGAGTACATTAGCTATGCTTCGAAGATTATAAAAATTGTTTTATTTTTATATTATATTACAAAATATTTTTGTTATCATATTTTGATAAATTAACTAATTAAAAGTACTTAGTATAACTCTCCCTATTTTCGTCAGTTTCCATTGGCTCTGAAATATTTTCATTTGAACTACTTGGATCTAATCCTTGATAACAAAAAAAGAAGCTTATTAAAATAACAATTATACTACCAATACTTATTATTTTAAAAATTTAACACAACTATATTGTAATATCACAAGGTAGAAAAAATAATATAATCGTTTTCGTTCAATTTGTATGATTGATTATCTTACAAAATTGAAAAATTAATAACTAATTATTTATCTAAAAATGAGGTATTTTACCTTGTCCGAGAAAATCGATGAACTGTAGTTCTTTATTGGTGTCAGATACATTACCTTGTTCTAATAAAAAATAATTTAAGATAAAGAAATACAAAGATTTTGTTATATAACTAGAACTTTGAAGTAACTATTAATAGTGAAGAATTTTACCTTCATTTAAAGAATCAATAAGCTTTAGAATCCATTGATATTCCATTTCTAGTAAAAATTAATATATATTACCAAGTTAAAAATTAGTATCATGAATATCTGGAGTTCAATAAACAGAAATATATTATTTAGTTTTTCTATAATTTTCTCAATAAAAAGTTTTTCAATAGGACATATTTTATATTTTATTTTACTTATATTACATGGAATATGTTTATGATCAAATAATATTTTAGTAAAATTTCAAAATATATAATTGGAAATAAAAATAAATATAGATTTTGCACACTAGTACAATAATTTTTATTTTATGTAGCTTATATTAAAATGTATAATTCAAATTATACCTCTCTTTTGTAATTCGCTTTGAGTTGAATTAGATATATCATTAGGGCTTATTAAAAATTCTAAAAAAATATTGAAATTGAATGCTTTAAGATAGTTATAAATTAGTTTTTATAAATTCATACCGTCAGTATTATACTTATATGGTACAGATATACCGATTTGGAATACTTTTCTACAATACTTAAATCCTAATTTATGAAATCTGTTAATAATTATGGAATTAATTAATATATGAATTTTTTGAATTAGATAATCATATAATTGAAAAGTTTTGTCACTATTAAATTTGTGATTGTATTCTTTACTACATTCTTGCCAAAACGCCGCCATATTAAATGATTCAAATTCACAATACGTTAAAGAATTAAATTCATTTTTAACATTTTTATAATTAAAAGTCGATTCAATAAAATTATAGAATTTCTCCATGGCTGATGAATCATTTTCCACAATGGGATAGTTTTTTAGTTTATTGTTAAAAATTTCTAAATTTCTAAATAAATTGTTAAAAAAAAAAAAATTTTTCCATGAATATGTATGCATATAGTTCAATACATTGAGTGTTTCTTTCATCAATGTCGCTAATGATGGCATTTTTTGTAAAATGTTTAATAACTCCATAGTACAAGTTTTTAATTGATCTTTTTGGTTAATCAAACTCTTACAGTGTTGTACAATTGGCATAATTAGGAAATATAGTATTTTTAAATCTTTGGCGTATGAACAAGCCAGCACTAAAGTCAATATTCGAATTCCTTTGTTACAATTTTCCTTTGTAGTAGCTTCTAGATAATTTTCTAATTTATAAAATTCTTTCCTATACTCAACACATTTTACATCCTTTAAATCTTTCCATCCATCATTTTGAACGAGACAACTATATATATTAGTGATTCTTTTTGAATTTCTTGTTGTTTCAGTTAATAGAATGAATATGAATAGTAATAAAAAAAAATAACAATTTTTCATTATAAGTAATTTTTTTTTTATAAAAAATTTTAAAATGATAAGTTAATACTATTTTTTTAAATAATCAAAAAAACGATAATGTATATGTTTTACATTGATTTTTAAATGATTTTTATAGAATTTACTTTATTATGAATTCAACTTAAATTTTATTCATATAAAAAATATTTGCAAATTATCTAATATTTAAACTGTAATATTTATAGAAGTCTAAAACGAGACAATCTGACGATTAAGAAATCAAATCTACTTGAATTAAAAAAAAATATGGCAATGTTTAATATCTTTTAATAAAAATAATTTTAAATTTATTAACCAAACAATGACAAATTATTCAAAAATAATTTAATAAAACACATATATCAAACATATGTTTGTGTTTGTTTTTGGACATAATGACAAATTTGAATTTTTTCTAATTATATAATAATATAATTTTGTGAATATTATATACAAAGTGATCCCAAGTACTTACATTTTAATAACTTTTGATCCAGCTAATATATTTTTTATTTTTTTTTTAATTGTTTTACGTTGATACCATAAAAATATTATAATAAATAATAATTTTAGTTTCGATGAGAAGCTGAGCAGGAATTAATTTTACTATGTTATGTTTTTTTTGTGTGTCTATTACTACTTTTTCTCAGCTCTCACTAGATCGATTTTGATGAACAATACGTTAAAATATCACAAATTGTATCTAATCGAAGACATAACCCTCGAAAAATGAAAAAATTTCCCTCGTTCGACATAAATGGGGGTAATCTCCAAAAAAATTACAAATTTTAACTTTATTTTGTCCTAATGGTAAAAATGGCTACCGTATTCAAAAATATGCTATTTTTTGTGTAAAATTAGTGATGGGAAATATCGAATAGTAACTATCGAACTATTCGATAGTCATTCAAAAACTATTGGAATATTAAAGATATTCGACAGTTACACAATATATTCGAATAGTTTTTAAACTATTCGATAGTTAATGCTAAAAATAAAATATTCGGTGGAATAACAGAATTTGAATAGTTAATCGATAGTTTAAAATATTTGAAAATGCCATCATTAATTTTTTTTTATTATTAATTGTATCCTATTTATAATCGTAGTACCCTGAATAAACAGTTTTAAACAATCCTGTTTAGATCGTTAGTGTTATTAAAACAGCAAAACTATAAATCTGACTATAATTTTACATAAGACTTATATTTTAGAAAATTTATCTTTACATATTTTTTTTAACGAAATATTTTGTTGTAAAATGATTATTTCGAAAATTATACTTTTATATATATATCTTAAATTAAACCTTATGATATACAATTTAATATAATATAAAATTGATTTAGAAAAGTATATATTTGATATCGATTAAAATTCCTTATAGAACAATGTATTTATCCATAAGCAAATAAAAATTCAAAGATATGGAATTTTGTGGATTGCAACTTTCTAGTTCAAGTTTAGATTTATGTTTCTAATGAAGAGTCATCGCTCTCAAAAAGTAAAATAAAATAAAATGTTTAATTATTACTAATCGTATAATCATTTTAAATCCCTTCTGTGGGCAGGTAAAATGTCAGATTTGTAAAAGAAATATACGAAATGATAGGTAAAGACATCATGCATCTATAAAAAAAAATTATATTGATTTGATTATTTTTGAAAATGTTATGGCAGTTTTTAATAAAAAAAAAATTTCAAAAATTAGTGATTTTTAAATTTGTAATTTTTTTGGAGATTACCCCCATTTACAGGGGCAAGGGAAATTTTTTCAATCTTTGAGGGTAATGTCTTCGACTAGATATGATTTATGATCTTTTGACGTAACGTTGAAAGAAAGCGGTTCGATGAGAGCTGAGAAAAAGTGATAACAGACACCAAAAAAAACACACATAGTAAAATTAATACCTTCTCAACTTCTCATCGAAACTAAAAATGTTATAAAGTATTGCATTTTAATTGTATTTAATTTATATACATGTTTGTCATAGAAGTAACAAAATATAATACTTTATCATTTTTTATAATTTATCCGTAAAAATTACAATATTAAATTATTAAATATTAATTTCATACTAATAATAAATATTTATTCATAAATTATACTTTTAAATCTGAGAACTACTAATCAGGATATAATTATGGTTTGATAGGTATAATTTTGTTAAAAGGAATAGGAAGGATTTTTTTGTTTAAATAATAACCCATCATACTAGTCATGACCGAATGCCTGTGAAAAAAGTACATGTATAGTATTATTTTTTCCAGAGTTGTAGAAGTACTTTTTGTATTTGATTTATTGTGTTGTGTGATACACGAAACCCAAACTGAGTATTTGAGTATGTTGTTCTTTTTAACATGCGATATTATTCGTTTTAGAATATTGTTTGATAAAAAAACAGAAGGCTATAAGCTTATAGGAGGTATGGATGTCCGAAGGTGTATCTGATTTAGCAAAGAGAATTATTTTTGAGAATTTCCATAGAATAGGAAAATATGACAGTTTTAAAATTGCATTAAAAATATAATATAAATATATATATTATAGTGGCGTGGTGTGGGCGGTGGTCACACTAGTTGTTAACAAAACTCTAGTGTTAAACCGCGTCTACCGCCGTAGGTGAACAGATGGGTTTTGTAGGTAGCGCGTTTTTTTTTCAATTAATGAACGTACTTCATTAGAGATAAGGTTTAGTTTAAGGGATGAGTTTAACGTATACATGTAGCACTTGAATATCTTGTCCGTCTAGCCACCGATTGAATGAACATAGTTAGCTTATTTACCATTTCATCAATGTTATGGTCAGTTTTTAGACTAATTTTTAAGTTAACTTGTTGGTCCATTAAGTTATGAAATTTATAACAATCAGTAAATAATGAAAAAAGTATAAAACTTTCAGAGTATAGCAATGGTGTAGTGTTGATATTTAGTAAAACAGATGAATGATTGGAATTTAAATTAAGTGTATTATGTATTGAGCAGTATAAATTGCTAGAAATTTTTGCTATAAAAATTTCGATTATATCGGGTTATTTTTTGTATAAAAAATATCTTATAATCGACATCCGTACAATTATTATTCCCTCTCCTTATAGTCCTTTTAAATTTGTATATTATTAGCTTACGTTCATTATAAGTTACTTTGCCACGCTCTACGATATCCTCAAGTCATCAGATAAGTTATAAATTTATTTTAATTTTATTATTGTATCATATCACAAGAGTCATCTTGTTTTAGTATGTAAGTTATCCACCCCTTTTCTCTTTTCTTTTAAGAGTTTTATTACTCGCAGAATTTGCAATATATAGATTCGTATTTTGCACATTCATAAGAAGGTGTACTTATTTTTTCTTACCCACTCTTATTTCCTTGTTTTATTTTTGTCTTCTACAAATTAACAACATCACCGCACAGTAACAGGTAATCCCCCTTTAATATTAAGGGACTGCTTGTCACAAAAGGTGAACAGTACTTTGGTTTTAGCGGAAAGAGTATTTAAATTTTTTTATAGTTAGTGAAATTATAGAGTAAATTACTCCATACTTAATGTTTGGCATTATAATCTCCTCCTATAATAAAATGGTTGGGTATTGTATTAAAATATTCAGTAAAGTTACTACTAGTTAGGTTGTGTGTTAAGAGATTATAAAATGTAGCAATAACAATCGACATATAATTTAATGTAATTGAGATTGCACACGCTTGTAAATGATTTTGAGTAAAATTGGAGAGTTGGTGAAATTGTAAGTCTGTCTTTATGAATATTGCTACATCATCGTGCACTATACCATCTGAATGATTCGTATTAACTAGCTTATAGCCTTGAATAGTAACATAAGAGTAAGATTGTGACGTTATTTTCTATCGAAGTTTCTAATAGGCGATTTATTTTTACATTGTGGTTATTTATATTAGGTTTAATGTTGTCATTTAAAAAGTTACATTTGTTTTACGACGCTGTAATTCTTTATAGATGTTGCATCCTTTGTAGTTGTCTGAATGGTCTTTGGAACATAACGCATACTTGTCAGGTGAATCTGGTGGTTTTGTACATTCTGAAGATGGGTGGAAAGCCCTATAGCGAATACAACGAGATGGAAAACCATAATATGCTCTAGTATGGCCGTATTTTTGGCAGTTGAGACATTAACTAATTATTTTTGTCTCATAAGGGTTTTCAACCTTTATTTTTGTGAAAGGATGATAGTGATAAAATGTCATTAGCATGTGTCGTGGGTTCTAAATCGACAAAGAATACTGGCAGCAGGAATTTATTGGACTTATGTAGAACATTTGTAACCTATCTAACCTCATAATGACGCATTTCAAATTTAGACTTCATTAGTACATTACATCGTGTCGACATCATCTTCGTCAACACCATTTTTTTTTTGTTGTTGTTCCAAAGTTAAATTATAAAGTAGTGAAATTTTCATTTTGGCTTACCCATCATTATGGCACAAATAACAATATTATTCAAAATCCATGGACTCTATAATTGTAATGTGGTATGTTTTTTTTTATTTATTTGCTCAGTGGGCACATTTATTTAATTAATTGCATGATTTTATTTTTGTTTTTAATTCTAGGTTAACTGATCAATTTTTTGTTATTAGTTAATGATTATATACATTTTAACTATATATTTCATTTTATCTTTAATGCTCAATCCTATTTAAACTTATTTAGTGTCTTTATTTCTTTTACCCTTTTCGTGAACTGACAGGTTCACGGGTGCGGTCAGGATGGACATGGTGAACATTGGGTTCTCTTCATCTATATATAAGATACTCATTGACGTTGGTGACATGTCCATTATATCCTGACAAATGCCTTAGATCTGTATGCTCATGTTTTCCCCTATTCTATTATATTCTTTTGTATTGTTGATACGTATCTATTACTATCTTTATGGCATTGAAATTTAATACACTTTATTTAATGATTTTTATCAAGATAATATTTGGTTTATCTGTTAGTTTGTTCTTATAATAAACATTAAAATATTGATCACTGAAATGATTGGTTTATGTTGTAATAATTAAGTGTGTTATTCTACTTAGAGAACAAGTAGACCATTTCGATGCCAGACTGTCTGTATTGATAAATCATATA